TTTCAGGACCCCACTTTGGGTCCCGACCCCAACTTTGGGAACCACTAGGTTAGAGGACAACAGGTTTCTGGAATGTGCTGAAATCTCATTTAAAAGCAGTTTAGTTTCTTAATATGTGGTCTGGAGGTCTCATTTTTCTTTTGCAGCGTGGCTTGATAAATTTATTTACACTTGATTTGTGTTGACAATGATTTTTTCCCCTTTTATGTAAATTTGCAGGTATTTGGTTTGTTGGCTGGACTCCTGTATGCATACGACACCTACACCATCATCCAGCAAATTCAGAGCAGCATGCAGCYCRCRGCAGCTCTATCTAGCTTTATCACTWACATCTGCTCTATTTTATCTGAAGCTTCTGTCCCAGACGAGCTAAATGTGACTTTTATTTTGGTCTTTACAGATTAAAGAGTTTAACATTTGCACTCTATGTGCCTCTGTGAACACAAACACAGAGAGGTGCGCCTCACTGATGATGGCACAGAGTAAAATGAAAAGGTCAAAGGTCAACCAYTGCAACAGAATGGAGCAAACACAAGGTGTATTTTAGAGACTGAGAGCAGCATACCTCAGGACAGCCTTTAGTTTGTATCATCTACCTACTATTCTGAAAAATGTATTATTGTCTGCCTTTAAAAGGCAAGGGATCATGTGTTTACCTGTCTGTGTCCACGTTTCTGAGTGTTTTTTTAATCCAAAAAATATTAATCGAACTAAAGGAATTTTAATTACTGACTGTACAGCTACAACAGAAATACTGTGGAGCCAACCCAACTGAAGATGGATGCCACAGCCAATCAATTTTAAGCACAAAATAGCTCAACCTCAGTTTTACTAATATTAAGTGACATCTCACAGTATCGCATGACATTTTGCATTATGGTGTTACAGCAGCTTTAACAATTATTTTCTCCAAACATGAAATCTTAGTTTAAAACAATTGGATTTAAAGGTGATATGAATCACTTTGAGCAATGCTAGGATTTTAATTCAACAGTTTTACACTTTTAATGGGGCTTCAATGTTTCTGTTGTCAACAAAATGCTACAACCTGAATGTGGAAATTATTTACTGCTAAAATTGTGTTAAAAAGGGATAATGATTTCTTTTTTCTGCTATCTGATAACATGTTGTATTTTCTAGCCTGTTTAGTTTTCTTTTCTGTTCTTTAAATTGATAGATTTTTACCAGACTGCCATGTATGACACCACAGCAGCCTTAAGTTTAAAGTTTTGAGAAGTATAAATCTTTTTTTAAACACATTCCTTTGCCGTTTTAGAACCATCTAGGGTTGAGTTGTTAAAGTGAAAGTTTAGCTTTTAATTAAAAGTGTTTGATGTGTCAGAATTTAACACCATCTGATCTGATATGAGGGCAATTTTGGAAAGTGAAACAGAACATTACATCAGATTAAAATAATGTGAGAGCAAAAAAAAAAAAAGGAACTAGACTCCAAACTGTATTCTTTCTTATTACCACTAGATGACAGCATTCTTCAACTCATCCATAGACTTGAATCAGAACCTTGAACTCACGTTTGTAAAATCAAGTCAAATATAAGTGGGGCCACTGACCAGCAGACCCTGAAATGTGCGAATGAGAATTTAATAGAAGTTTCCACACTTTCATATTATTAACTCCTGACATCATCATCATCATCATCATCATCATCATCATCATCATCATCATTATTATTATTATTATTATTATTATTATTATTATTATTAGCTTGTTGCAATCTGAACATTGTGTGTATTTTGTGATAATGCATGAACATTTTCTGTCTATGTGTTTGCTGTGATGTGCTGTTTGGAGCTGCTGCCTGTCTTTGTCCAGAAACACTTGTACAAAAGATTTTTCATTTGATCATTTGAAGAGACTTCTGTTAGATTTTTCCAGGTTAAGAAAWAGGTTGAAGAGTATAAAATTTTACTGTGGGCTTTCATCTTTTTTTTAAAACAATGTAACTTGGTACACCTACCCTTWATTCTGAGATTACAATGATTTTTTAAATAAAATAATTTCCTTTAAGCCTGTGACCTCACTGCTTTTCAACTGCAGTAATTATTTGATGTCTCATGTTGTTTTAAAGCTCAGCAGTGGAATGATAATCCATTGTTTGGGATCATGCCGAGTGCTATCAAACTCAAATGTAAAATAATAATAATAATAATAATTTCCCCAGAACACACCAGTGTTTTGTAAAAGGTTTGTTTCTCGTTTTAATATTGATTGTTTTCGTTCATTCACTGAATTGATTTTAACCCATGCCTAAAACCTTTTGTTGTGTTTCAGTTTTGTATCTTGTCGGCCTATGATGTCCAACTGAGCGATGGGAGATGGTCATTATTTTCTTTGGACCGGAAATATGAAGTTAGAGCTCTGTCAAGTKTACATACTTTCAAAATAAAAGCACAAAATTAATATTTTGATTTAAAAAGAAGTGCTAGTTAATATCTTTCTTTGTGAACTTAAATTTTAGTTAATTCATGACATAAATAACTTCATAAGATTTTTATTTTGATTTGTTCAAAGTGTAAACAGGAATGTGGCAAAGTGGACATATTTATTTTGAAGTTTGACCAGAAGTTGCGCTACATTTTAGTTAAGCTAGCTATTTCCCTTCTGACGCCGAAGTGTTTCAAACAGACGAGCTGGTATTCCGCAGGGAGCAGCATGTAGTTCAGCACAGACCCTGCTGGGTTCCGTTTTATTGAGACCAGAACTTTTCTCTTTTCCGTTTGTTTACCTGGAAACTTTTTCTAACTTCAAGCCGACTTTATGTTCGTGCGCGGCTCCAAAAAGCGACGGTCCAACCGCTCGGTAAGTCCCGGGTTTTTTAGTCCTCTTTTGGCTTACTTCACTTTAAATAACATTCTTTTATTCTACTAAGAGTTCACTTTAGGGCCATTTGAAAGTTTCTGTGTGTTTCACTGTTACGGCAATCATAAAATAAACCTGTTTTCAAGTCAAGCACAGAAAACAGCTCAAGCGGAACTTCGGTCCCCACCTTCACCTGCCTGGCTTTTGTTGTTTAGGTGGCGTGATTTATTTATTTTTTATATATATAAAGAAATCCCCTCCTGTTTCCCCACGTTGSAAATAAACGGAGTGTTTAATCAGACGGTGTCCCATAAAGTCAGGCACCTCTTTGTTTCCTGAGTCATGCCAGGCGCCTCAGGTAAATCCGTCATGAGTTTTTGTACCTGAGCAGGTTCAGATGGGATAATTTGTTGAGAGTTTAAAGCTGAAAACAACATCAGGGTCAGGTTCTTCTACTGACTGGACAAACAGCTGTTTGATGGTCAAACATCTGGATCACCTGGAATATGTCTCCATCATCACAGCTGCATTTATTGGACCATCCTAACTTTGTAATGTGCACAAAAAGTGCAGAAGTTCTGTACCAAATCATAATATATGAACTTTTTTATAACATCTATTGAGCATTGTGTTCCTGAATTATTAGTAATTTTATATATGGCTGTATCTTGCATAAACGACTTGACAGTATTCTAAACTGTGTACTTTACCCAAGTACACTTTTTTTCATGTTCTTAAAATTTCTTATAATAAACATAGAAAAATAAATATTTTCCCTTCGATTGTTGACGCACAAGTTATTGAAATTCAGTATGTTAATCAGGCTTTAAGTGACACAGGTAACAAATTGCTCTGAATTGTTGAGTAAAATAAAAATATAATTGACACACTGTGTGAAACGGGCATGTCCTGGCCAGGTCTAACTAAATAAAAAATCTGATCATAAATTTGATCAGCATAATAACTAGGGCTGTGTATTGGCAAGAATTTGGCGATACGATACATATCATGACAGAGGGGTCACAATACGATATATCCCGGTATATTTCGATACTGTAAACAAGGCGATATATTGCGATATTTTTGGTCCAAAAATTCTATTAAATAAAAACCTCTTACTGGAAAAAAATAACAAACGAAAAACCAAAATTCACTGTCTCAGAAAATTATAATATTATATTAAAAGCTGCTGCACACAGAGTTTCTGGGATCAGCTGACCTGCATCCAGAACCTGATTTGTATAACTGTGGGTCGAACAGCAGGGCAGGTCCTGAAGAAAACCAGTTAAGAAATTGAGAAGCTAAACGAGTTAAACCATTTTTGAAGCGAACACAGCAGGATAAAGTATTTGGACTTTGATGCGATCATCAGCCGGACATTGAGAGCAACAGAGTTTTATGTCACGGGAGGAGTGCTGAGCTCGAGGTGATAGACGCATGCACTATATGCGTAACGTGAAAGCTGGCTACAGTTGGAAAAAAGAGCGCACAAGACACTTAATTTGTCTTAAAATACAGACATTCTGACAAATAAGTAACTGTTTGTAACCTTACCTCAGCTTAGAAGGCAGAGGGTGTCGGTCTTTTCCGCTCAGATTCAGCTATCAGAGCATGAAGCTAATGTTTACTCACAATGCTAATGCTCTCTTACTCTCTGGCACTCAAGAGGTAGAGGAGCCAAATGGCTGGCTCACTGCTGCCAACTAGTGGTCAGAGGCTGAACTACAACATAAAAATGAATGGCTGGCAGGAAAGTTGACATTTTAAACTTAATAAAAATCGATACAGGGCTTTAGAATATCGATACGGTATCGGGAAATGAAATATCGCGATATTTCAGTGTGTCGATATTTTCTTACACCCTTAATAATAACCAGTTATATGTCTTTGCTCTGCTGAACTTCAGTCAGCTCAGAACCCTCTGATACAGAGTGCTTTCTAAATTAAATAAATAGCATTCAGGGAAGATATAATTTTTCTGAATGGAACAATTGACTACAGTTTAAAAGCCTGGAACACTGCATGGTTCAGTTTAAACAGTGAAAACTCAGTGAACAAGTAGTTAAACACAACAGAAAAAGACAAGAAATAAAATCCATCTTTTTAAGTCTTAGAGTTTGTCATGTCCCGAAAATTTGATAATCTACTCCAGTTAGTTTCTGAATACTTTAAAGCTCATTTGTCGAACAATATGTCACATTTGAGTGTTAAAGAAATGTTCAAGTTAGTGTAAAAAGTGTAAAGTGGTGTCAGAATGATTGTTTTCTTAAAAGGATGACAGCGTAGTTGTGCATTCACAACTGCAATGACTGGATAAAACCCAGATGTTGCTCCTTTCTTTTCTGATGCAGTTGTATGGAACAACCTTACCTGCATCATCAGCTGCATTTGAAGATCGTATGACAAGTAAAAGTACCGAGCGTGAAAAGGGCCTTGTGTTTCATAAAGTCTCTTCTTACTATTGTGTCTGTGACTCTGCTTAGATAAAATTTCAGTTTGGCCCTCAGAATGGCGCTCGGTGCTTTAGCTAACTGGTCTGATTGTCGAATGTTATTGTTTGACTTGACCTCGGCAGCAGGAAACAGAAAAATGTAAACTACAGAGCTCAGACATGTGTTGGACTTCGGAGAGGTGCATCTACTCACAGCAAACCTCTGACTGTTAATTTTTAAGCTTTTCCCTGAGTGAGAGTCCCATACACTGAATATGGTCCAAATGACATCAGTCTGGTGTATTATTTGTCTGTTGTCCCTTTTTTTAGTGCAGAGAGTCCAGGGTTGTATGTGGTGTTCTGTTGATGTAAGATAACAAAGCGGACAACCTTTCAGTTTGTCTTCTACCTGGTTTCAGTAACTCAGTACCACATTGGAGCCCAACCAAATGGTGCGATTAAACCTTCTGAGTGCAAACAAAGGAGCAGATACACAAAGTCTGACTGTAACCATGTGAACTGACTTTACCTTAGTTTGTGAAAGTATTATTTAATTTGGCTAAGTTTAAAGGAAACTTCTTATCAACACTCCCATTGAGTGCTTCTTTTTTTTTTTGAACAAACGTTTTTGATGGAAAACTTGAAGCCACCAAAAGATCTCTATCATTTCTTGGACACTATTGTCACAAAACAGAAACTTAAACAAACTTACTACCTTTTAGGTCTGTATTGGTTTTTGTTTTTATTAGATTAAATTCATAATTAGTCATTAAGGAGGATGTTCCTGCACATTTCAAATAACAAGGAGAAACAAATGCCTGCTTATTTTTACTCCATCTCTAATTCTTGTTTGCCTTTGTGATCACCTGCAGTGCCGAGTTAAACCAAACTGATTTACTGTGTGTTTGTTTAGAGATAAAACTACTAATTGTGTTGTTTTTAAAGATTAAGCTAGCAGTGTGAGAGACAGGAAAACACTGGATATTCTGCTGTTTTCTATTCACACTTATTTCAAGTAATTTTGTTGCTTTTCTCTGGATTACTAATCCGTCTTCTTTCATTACGTCACAGCTGAAGACAGCTTCATTACTATCTGCCCTTAAATGAATGAGTATTCACACTGACCCACTTATTTCTTCATTATAAAGCAGTGAAAACCAACCAACTCTTTGTTTATTTAGTTATTTATTCTATTAGTTTAACTTTGTGTAGGCAAATATAGATACAGCAGAGTGACCAGTTAGACATACATCATCTATTTTAACCTAAAATAAGGCTGACATTTTAAAAAGAACAAAGAGTGGTGTTGCAACAACGTTATCACATAAAGTACAGATCAGAGTATTTTCACTGAGATGAGTCTTGTCTTGTGAGTAATTAGAGCTAAAATTAATAACCTTTTGTTTACTTTTAATTTGTAACCATCATTTGTAAAGTTGACAAATCTCATTAAGTCGTCTCTGTGTGAGTCACACAGTGCCTTTGATTTTCATAAAACGTTTAAAATCCGTCTAAGATGAGAGTGTTGCTTACTGACACGTGTAAACATCTCTTACTCAGGTTGCACCTACAGACGATTACAAAAGCAACACGTTTTTTTTTTTTATCAGTTAGGCGTAATCCAGGAAGGAGAATAGAGACGTAGTTGCTCAATCTGAAGTGCATACTTTATTCCTTCAGATCTTTTCAATATATTTGAGCTTTAAGTAAACAAATGCAATAGCACATGAACTGAAGTTGTGTTTTACTTAAATCAGGTCAAAGGGTGTCTTATAGGGCGAACAAAAAGCATGAAGTGTCATTTCATTTCTTCCCTCTGGGTCTAGAAGTACAATCGGCTCAGGTCGGTTACAGTTTCCAAAAGTGTTTTTGTCCTGCAGCTGTTTTCCTTCGTGTTGTTTAGGATTGTAAATGCACACCCCAGTGTTCAGTGTTACGGACGTTTTTTTGTAGTATGTGCCTCCCAGACTCCGTGTCAGAGTGACAGCTCAGGAACCTTTTTCTTAAGGAAATGACAAGTCAATGACCCAGTCAGCCAGAAATCATCTGTAAGCCTCATTTAACCCAGTTTGTCACCTTTCATACCTGGTTGCRTAACAAGCAGCATGGCTTAAAGGAGTAAACTGTACTCGTGCTTTTGCACATAAACCACACATTCACTCTGGAATCCATCATCAACACATGATGTAAATGTATGTACTTATGGTTTCTCAGTCCAATTATGAACCATCTCAACCCCCACAGGAGCCGTCAGATATCGCTGAGCTAAGCAAAGTGAAGTGACTGTTGCTAATCAAATAAATCTGTTGCTGTTCTCAAAAGAGGTCATAAAAATCTCTGCTTGGGAAAACAGGCTCGACGTGAATAGCGATGGTTAGTGGTTATAGACAGGTGAACAGGTATGCACAGGCACCTTGTTGTTTCACATATCATAAATTTATGGCTTTGCTCATAAAAGCCAGAGTTATGCAGCTTTATGTGTGACTTGCTTTTGCATTCAAATGCATGTTTTACATTAGATTTTAATTAGTCTTTGACAAAAAGGTCATCAACCGTGTGATTATTCAATTGATAAAGAGTTGGTACTGATTCCATTAAACTGCCACTGTAGTTTGTTTAGTAGTCTAGGGAAAAAAACAAATTAGCCGTTCACACAAACAGCAGGCCATACTGTAGAGCTAAGTCATCTGAGGAAAAGAAAGTTGGGGAAAGTCGAGTTTCTACATGGAGAGGGAAGGGTGCAGCTCCCATCCTGCGTCTGCTTCCTTCCTCTCATCTCTAAAAAGAGGCCTGTGTCTATAGTCTGCTATCCACACAAACACTGTCAGGCAAGGCTGCAGGAGGAGAGGGGAGATATGAGGGAGTTTAGTGCTAAAGCTCCAGAGTCGCCCTTGGCTAAGTTTAATGCACTGCTCAGCACTTTTGGCACAAGGCTTTCTTTTGAGAATTTACAGCCCACATGCACCTACAGATATTATTCACACTTAAAAGCCCTAATGCAAAATGTATCTACTCTCCTGTATATTTCATTTTATAGATAATACACACTGAGACCCGAAACAAGACGAAAGCAACAGCAGTTGAATCTGTCCTCTCTGGTTTCTCTGACAAGGATGGGACTTCATGTACTAACATTTGTTTAAACTTAAGTACCCTTTGCCAAAATAATGGAGTGGTCCTCTGCTGAGGAAGTGTTGGAGCTGAAGTGACTGCATGTTGTGTTTTCAGCAGGAAGAAGAGGACCCGGACAGAGGACAGCCCTGTATGCGCTGTGGAGACCAGTGCCCCGGCTTCCGTGTGCACGGCTGGAGGTATAACCTGTAGGACTCTTAAACATTGTTAGCGCTTCCTGGGAACTATGTAGGAAATGTTTGGTTCATGTCACATTATGCACCTTCAGTCGAATCCTAGGCTTCACATTCACAATGCAAGCAAAAGGGGCCCAAACTAGATTTTTTTTTGCCCGTGTTGATCCAAATCATTTTTTTATATGACAGTCTGAAAGCCAACTCAGGTTTGGTTCATGTGTAGTGCAATTAAAGCCCAATGTTTTTCAAAGTGACCACATTCATCATGTTGCATTGCATCCAACTTTTATGTCACCCAGATTGATCCAGATATTGATGTTATTGAAACCAACGTCATACAGTTTTTAAAGCTTGGCTCTCTCAGCTTCTGCCCTGGAACAGAAGTCCAGTTGCTTCAGTTTTTTATTTTTTATTTTTTACTGTTTAGAGTGACCATGTCATTGACGATTGAGAACTTACACCAACATATGATACCAAGGTTGGTGTTGGATCGATACAATAGGATGTATTTGTTTATTTATTAGATTATTTAACAGGGACATTGCACAATGCATTTACTGCAGAGACCAGAAAAGGCTACAGGCTAATTTCCATCTGTTATCTCCGGCAGAGGTAGAGTGACAACTTTTAACAGAAGTAAACTAAATAAAAAAATTGCTAGTAGGCCATACATAGTCTTTAAAATACAAGAAAAACCTTCAAAAATGTCCAACATTAACCGTGAACGGATCGATACTTGAGTTTGTTTCTACTTTCATTATGTCGCTTCATCCCAGTAGTACAACYCTGTGATGGAGTACATGGTAAGGGGTAAGATCAAATGTAAACATCGAACAAAATAAGCAGAGCAGAGAATAATTTCCTTGACTCTGATTGCACAACAGAGTCACAGAGTGGTTAGGGGAGTCGTCCTGGAACTGGTAGGTCACCGGTTCGATCCCCCGTTCCAGCTATCTCAGTTGTTGTGTCTTTGGGCAAGAAACTTAACCCCTAATGGTGCGTTTACACCGAACGCGATTTCAGCGTCAGGAGCAGCRGGTTTACATACAAAGTCTATGGTGGACGCGCTTCAAGCAACGTCGGGAAGTTCTGCGGCGCCTCAAGCGCGATTAGAGCAGCGCGATTTGAACGATTTGAACGATCTGAGCGTTCGACGCGCTGAGGCACAAATCGCTGAAGTTAGAAAATCTGAACTTTTGCAGCTCGACGCGCAGCGTCAACCAATCAGAGAGACTCCACTGTGTGACGTAGTGACATATTTCCCGACGGGACAGTTTACTGAATGATGTCCACTAACCTGAAACAGACAGAGCTCCTGCTCTTTAGCTGAAATGAGTGCTGCAGTCGTGTCCTGATCCGCAGCAATGCGTGGCAGCGACTCATCAGACTGAAAAAAATAGTCCTGAAAGCAAGCTGTGAGCCTCTTCTCTGAATTATCTGGTGAATTAATTATGAATTAATTATCTGATGAACGTGACRTGCTCTGGCTCTCTGTAAATAAAGCAAAGCCACTTCCTCGTCCGACATTAAACAGCCCCACAGAGGAGGGAGGGGCGGGGCGGCTGTCGCCGTGCAGCGCAGCTGTCCTGCGTCTGACCTCAAAGTGCACAAGCTTCAAACTTCAGCGTTGGCTGCGATTTTGACGCTGAAATCGCGTTCGGTGTGAACGCACCATAAAGCCTCTGATGTGTGTCCCGTCAGTGAATGAATGTGATTGGCACCACCACTGTAAATATCAAATAGTGGTGTGTGATTGGTGTTAGCTTTGTAGTGACCTAATAGAGTGCAGTGTGAACGGGTAAATGAGGACACAGATAGTAGTATGAAGCACTTTGAGTTTCCTTGTTGGATAGAAAGGTGCTATACAAGTACAGACCATCACATGATGTGACCCATCACATCCAACTGAGGATTAAGGGAAATTTAGTCAAAATGACCTAAACATTTTCAGATTCCTGCTTTTTCAGCTACATTTTTTTTATCCTGATCATCCTGATATCATGACCTGTTCTAGAGATATGCCTTGAGTTGTCTTCCTAATCAGGATAACCCATGGATATTTGGTCTGAATTCTGTTTTTAGGTTGTTCAACTATTATTATTTGATATGTTTAGATATTATGATTTACCAGCTAGAAAGAAAAATAAGTATTGCTAGCTCACAGGAAAAAGGACAAAAATTTAAGGCTTTTCGGCTCAAAATAGTTTTTTGTAGCTACTGCTCAAAAAGAGCTTCAGAAAGTTGTAAAAGACTATAACTCAGATATTTAGTTCAAACAACATAGAGATGTTTTGAACAAAAATCACTTGTTGCAAACTTTGTGACTTACTCCTCAATTTGATGCAATGGTTCACATTTACATCTCTAAACTCGGTATACTGAATGTGGCGTCTCATCCTGTTTTGTCTGTCGCTTCCAGCAGCAACTAGCAAACAACAATTGAAACTGTGTGTCTACTGATCTCGTAATACTAACTGCATCTCAGTCCAGTCCTTTTCGGATAAAAAAATGCCTTTGAGGAAATTCAAAGCTTCCCATGGATGACACGGTTCTTTAAAAATTGTTTGATTTCAATTTTATAACCTTCCGAAGAAAAACAAATTTGTTATATTTGTGCGAGCCACTTTTTGGATGATAGCTGACTGAACAAAAAGGAATTTAATAGTGGACTAAATATATGCTATAAGTAATATTTGAGTGAATATTTTGATTTAGCCAGAGTTTTGTACCTCAGAGAGCATACCAACAGCATTGTGTTAGATCAGAATGCAGTTTTGATTGTATTTCTTGACATATTGGTTCATTCAGTACATGTGTATTTTCTCTGTATTTTTAAGAAGAGCATTGTTGCTTATAGAAGTCAGCTTAGCTGTGGTCTGTTTACGAGGAGTTTAAACATGACAGTTCTATTTCGTAAAGGCTTCGCCCTTTAAGGCTATCGCTAGTGGCTTTATCCCTCGCACACAGCACAACACTGAAAATCGTAGTCCATGCCCACCCACTGGGTGGGCCTCCCCGGTCTGTATAAATAGCAGTCAGACCGGACAATCGGCTCCCTTTTTTTCTTCAGTGGTAGCAGAAGCAACATTGAGAAGATGTCCAMCATTATTCGTTTGTGCCCGTCGTGCCAGACGGGATACATATTGTCCTTCGACAGCCACGAGACCTGCGAGAGATGCCTGGGACCTCTGCACGCTGACCTCGCCCTGGAACCTCAGCCCACCTGTCGTCCCTGTGCTCTCCTCCTGCTGGAGGAGAGGAGGCGGAGGGTAGCCTTTTTCAAGGTCAGTATTGGGCCACAGGGTGGATCAACCGAGTCCGTTACCCGCTCTCAGGAGGAAGCTAGCTGCACTTAGCAAGCTAGCAGCGCTGAGCGGGAAACGAATGATCCTGCCAGCAAAGAAGACACCGGGGGAAACGAAGACAGTGAAGACGACCCCGGTGACGCTATCATGGAGGAAAGGCAGCTGAGCGACTGCTCAGTCAACTCCGGGTTTCCTATGTCCTCCACCACCCCGCTCCCAGCGGTGGGCGCGCTCCTCCTCAAGCTGCCTAGCTTGATTCAGGAGGCTGCTAGCGCTAAGGGACTTCCGGTCCCACAGCCTTCCCCGTCCCGCTTGAATGACCTGGCGGGAAGGTTTGGTTCTGCCTGAAGTCGCCGCCCGGACCCTATCTGGCCTTAGTTTCCCGCCGTGATGGACTTCCTGGCTGAGGCAGCAGCTGAGGGCACCAGTCTCCACATACGCGCCCATCACCAGGGTGRAGGGGTTTACAGAGCAGAGTTTTCCCTCTGTACCCCCTCTGGATCCAGGTCTTGCTGAAGTGTTTGGGGCCAAGACGTCTGGGCTGGATCAGCGTCTGGTGCCTCCTTCCAAACACGATCAGCTGATCACAAGGTTTTCTGATCGGGCCCACCAGTCGCCTATCAGACCTCTGCTGCAACAAATAATGCCGCCTTGCTGGCTTACGGCATTTCCAAGCGGCTGCAGGAAACTGCCCTGCCAGAGGATCTAAAGAGCTCTCTCTGTAAGGCGGCTGATGCAATCCTGAACCTGTGCGCCACCACAGTGATTTGCTCCTCGAGGATCGCTGCCTGGGCCACCCAGATCCAGAGAACCACCTGGCTCCGCCTGGCTCCATCCATGACGGAGAAGCTCCAGAAGGATCTGCTGGATGGTCCCATCACAGCTGACGGGCTATTTGGCGCCAGCTTCCACTGTCTCGTGAAGAAGTCTCAGCGGACTCAGGAAGTTTTTGAGTCTTTTCGCCAACTGGTGTGGCCTCAACCTGAACCCCGCACCTCGGGTCGCTGGAGGGACCGCCGTGGCCGCCGTCAGCAGGAAAGACGCTCCACAGCGACTACAGCCTCTGTCAGATCAGCTGATCTCACAGCAGCTCCATCACACACAGCGAGCCGCTCGCCTCTAAACAGCTGGTTACGAGGCGCCGCAGCTCCACATTTTCTGCACAGTTTTTCTGTCTCAGCAGATCAGTCTGATTCCAGCAGAGTTTTTTCTGAGCAGTCAGAACATCTGGATGTTCCTGCTGCCTCCTCACACACACCTCACAGAGTGTGTCATCTCTCCAGCAGCGGCCCACGCCCAAGCAGCATCAGAGCGCGCTGGCTCGCTCCCGTTCTGACGGGGGCGGGCAGCCCAAGCGCTGCATGAAGAGGGACAGGCAGCCCTTTCTGTCCAAGCCCCCCATGGGTTCCCTCAGGAGCAGCTGCGAGGCAGGGGACGGCGGTAGGGGCGCTAACATGGCTAGAGTCCGTGCGGACCACAGCACCACACATAAATGCACGCCCGCTTTCAGAGCGTTACTCAGAATGGCGGCGCGCATGTTCCCTCGACAGGTGGATGGATCAGCTGATCAGCAGGGGTTACACGCTGCAGTTTGCAGGTCGTCTGCCGCCGTTCAGAGGGATTGTGGAGACGGTTCTGTCATCTCCAGAGCAGAGCGCTGCTCTCCGGTCAGAACTTCAGGAACTGAGGTTAAAAAAG